AGCAGGGAATTAATACGATGAGTCCCATATTGAGGGAACCCGTAACCATAGAGAAGTCCCACTGGTCGATAATGATTCCTCGGCTTTAATTATCTGCCACTGAAAAACCTCCAATACAAGATGCCTTATCTGAGAGGGTGATGTTCAAAGATTGCACTCAAGAGTAATATTCACTCCAATAATTATGGAAGATTGAATGGTATTAATTGATTATAATACAACTGGTCGGCTACTCAATAAATTATAGAAAATCTGTGGTGAGTGGGTTTCAGCAACCACTACTGATGAACATTCATCAACCTGGTTCTAGCTGTTTTAGCTATACCAGTCCCAACGGACGGCGACTGAGAAGCAAAAGTGATTTCGTAACCGGCCCACTGAATTTCGATGGAATTAATGATCTTGATTTCGCTCCACTACCTTCAGATGAAATGGTTTCAGCCAACTTCGTGAACTAGGTTCACATGTACGTGTACGCCACCAGTGTAGGGCAACAGACGCTGGTTCGACAAATATTAAAGTATCCGACGCCTGGTTTGATGTACAGCATTCATCCGTATACTTTGGCGACAATCTCATAATGATGGAAGTAAGGAAGGCACATTATACTGTTTAAGAGAGGGTTTTCAGGACAACCCTGCCAGAATATTTAAACTGCTACACATGCAGCAATAGGATATGCAGTTTATGTTAGTCAGGATCCGAAAAGGCTAGCAGAAACTTCGGAGGTGTGATCAGTAAAGGTAGTAAGGATCAGTCCCACGACACTTTAGCGGCGATTAATATCATTTGATATATGTGAATGTGCACACTTAATTCATCATGGCAAGTCGCATTCAAAAGTGGAAGTTGCAGACAAAGGCAATGAATCGCAAGAGTGGCCTGAAGAATAAAGTGTCAAGGAACTAACTGTCGTGAGAAAAACTAAATCTTTTTTTAAAATTTTTATGTATATGTGAAATGTTTTACTCACGTCTGTGATTGTCCTTTCTGAGGGAAATCACCACCTTTTTCTGCGCCTCCCTTGGAATCAAGTGCCAAAACGGCTTTCACACCTTACAACTCCACTTCCGTCATTGTTCACTTCAAAGAGTATACTCGCTAAAAGAAAAAAGTTGAGCGGATTTAAGGGAATTGGTGAAAAACAAGAACAATCGGTGGAAGGCTTCCCTTAGATGTTCTGTTCATCATGGTAGGTGGGCATTCTGTGCGTAGAAATAGTTCCCAGGGCATGAATTGAATAAACCGATGACCATCGTTTCCTAAGAGATGGTAACAATCAGAAGGTTCATGGAAGCAGATGCAGCATTTGTAGAATCCAAACTGAACAGCTGCAACTGCTTATATGGAAGCATTCATCAGTTCAGTGAAGTGTAAGGCCAAAGACATCACGGGGATTTGAAAATTTTCATAGAAAGTGCACTGCATTCTAAGTTAGTTTCTTGTTTCAACCATATCATTGTTGGAAGATTTGTAGTCTTCTATACTTTATATCCTGGTGCGCAACTGTAGGACTGGAATAGAAAAATCTCTCCGAGAGGAGCCAGATACTTTTTCGTTGTTATTAATTAACTTCTTCGTGACCATCCAACGAACATGGTTGAACAAAAACAGGAATCTGGTGGGAGAATAAACCAGTCCGGTTACAGTTTTTATACTGATACTGATTTAAAGAGAAAGCTTGGAGTAAAGTGTGGTGTTTTCTGCTCGCAACTCCCGATGAATGAGTTGGTTGAACTAGCTAGGGATGAGGAAAATAAAAATGTCGGATAATAATGTGTACTGACTGTCCCGGTAAAATAGTTCCTGCAGACAGATTCAAGTTTGGTTGCTCCATCAAGTTAAGGTCCACGCCATTAAAAAGGCCAAGCATTATGGATCCCATTTCTTAAATGTATTTATGAAGCTTTAAAGAGGGGTAAACTTGACGATAACTTAACAATAACTAGGACCTTCGAATACGTCTGCCTTGGAATAAATCTATAACAGGATATTCGAAAAGCCACTCACTAAAGGTATTTGTTAGAGAGTGGCAACAGCCAACTGGGAAATATGACGGTTACCCGAACAAGGACAATGCACTATGGAATGTCCACTTGGGATGGTCTTTTAGGAAGGAATATAATCTTTCGTTATTGCGAGCAAATCATAATTAATATCAGATTTTTGTGACAGATTTTTGTGCTGACACACCAAAGTTGGTTCACTCATATTGGGTCCCTCATTTTTTAAAACCTGGGATATAACAGGCAAACTTTTTGGCGATCACCATTATCGCTTGAAAAACAAGTCACCAGGGTAAAGGGGACTGCACTATAGCTATCTATAATGTGCCCTGACGACTAATGAGAACTACAAGAAAAAGCACAAGCTTCCCATTGACTTCAAAAAACCCGCTGCACAGCTTATTTTTAAACCTTCTCATAGTAATTCTGTCATTTTGTTTGTGTACGTACTATAAACCTTCCACATACTTGTTGGCTACTGAAGTAGCTTTTCCCTCCTTACTGAATAGTGAATCACAATGACTGCTACTGTAAAAAGGTAATCTCTTCTGAGGGTCCCAGTTCTGTGGACTTACTATGTTAGTGTTTGCGCAGCGGGAACTTCAGAAAAATTTTGAAAACAAGCTTGTGTACATTGAATTTAGCCGTGTACTTACTTGTTGAGTTAAAAGAGGCGAACCAAAAACACGAAATCCGTATTCTGGTCTCTGTTGGTGGGACTGCTTTGGAAAAACTTAGGGGGTCTCTGTAAGAAAAATGATGGTCACCTCTCAAATGTTCTAGTTTCAAGCTTAATCCCACAGGGCGGGGGTAAAGTTATCATAGCTAAGATGTGAGAGGTGAACTGTTTTCTTGGGGGATTTTACTGAGAGTGACCATCATGTATAGCTCTGAGCATAAGAACGCGGTTGAATCGTAGGTTCTTACAGCCATGCCATAAAAGCTCGTTTAGATTTGAATGAGTCTAGATCAGTGAGAACATTTCACATAACTTCGTCAGACAGATTCACTGTTGCAATCAGCTGCTAATACAAGTTAGTCGTTACGAAACAACGTCGGTATTTCATCAGGTACAACTTACGGTGGAAACGTTTAGTAGATAAACCAGTCAGCGATTATTAAGTCCACGAAATTTCGTGAATCATTTTGCAGTCATTCTGTTTTGGAATTTGCCAGCGGTATAAAATGCTAATCGCACCCAGTTTTAGCTTTCGATTCTATAAGCCAGCACCTCGGGATAGCAAGAAATAGTTCCGTACGAGAACGGTGTCCTTTGGATAAAGAAACCTGATCAACCGTGGCAAAAGAAAAAGCATTGTTATTTTGGTATAAACTCCGTTACCGTAAATCGGGTTGCCAGAGCGATTGTTTAACCAGGCGAAATTCTCCATTCACTAGAAACGATGTGGTGAGTAGTACGTATTCAACGTCTTTTGGTAATCACATTACTGCTCAGTCCAGTTCGAGTGGATGAATTAGGTGTCTTCAAACTGCCTTCATGTTGTGATTTGTCCCTAATAAGTTCCAGATGAATGAGCTGTTATAAGGCCGACAAGCCTGCCGAAAACCGAAGTCAGTATGTTAAGTGACAACTGAAAATTTCTGGGGAAAGCGTCTTTCTTGCAGTGACAAGAACGTCCTCTGTGAATTCTCACAGGAGATACTGATACAACATCCATAGTATATGGAGAAAATAGTTCTAGTGTTGAACTAATTATTTAACGCTTATCGTTTTTTATTAAGAAGTCGTAGCTCTTTTTTCATTATGAATTAAAACTAGGCCAGATATTTCCGTTTGGGAGGATAAGTTCACAGAAGCTTTGCTGTGGAGGGAGGCGGCTACAGTGAAATTCTGAAAGCTTTTGAAGTGGATAAACCCTTTCCACTCTTGAGCTTCAGGCTGTTGTTTAATGAGGCACATTTAGTCCACCGATTTTCTGAAGAAATAAGTTTAGTAACCCAAAATATGGGACGATCAGTCGCGAATCCGTAAAGTTAAAGGCTTCGGACTCCAAGCTGAACAACGATAAAGGTTTTCCAGCTCAAATGAACATTAAAAATCGCTTACTCTACAAATATCTTGAGCAGACCACCCTAAGAGACTATCCGGAAACTGTCTCATCCAATAAGTTCTCATTTTCATGCTGACTTGTATGGAGAGGGACAACTGCAACAGACAGGTCAGTGACAGCTTTAATATAATCTTGATTCGGAGTGAATTTCCCTATGAATAGCTCAAACATTTTTATGTCGAAATTGCTATATTTCTCTAGAAGTGACCCTTCCATATTGCACTTGGCATCATCGCCACATTTTGGAGGGGGGCGCCGTAAAATTACCAAGAACTTAACGTTTGGCAACTTCACTTTTTTCGTGGTATCATGTTCAACTGCACTCAAACAACTATCGACAAGTTGAGTTTTTCGGGCAAGCCAACTGCACGAAGACTGTATGCTGATAATAAAAGCTGGGCACAGTGTGCTTTCTGTACTAAGCAAATTCAAGTTACGAGCACCATGTGAACCCAGCTAGCTACTCTTTTGCTGCTCGTAAAGGGCAAACAATCGAACGGTACACGTTTGTTCTCGTGCAACTCTCGGTGGTAGTTTGGGGACTAAATGTAAACGACCGACTTCATCAGCTTGCCGACTATTTGCTCGGGGTCATATCAAAAGCTACATGCACATACAGAACAAAACCCGCGGCAAACAAACAGCCGCATCACACACTGTACTCTAGATAAACTGTCAGGAATAACCCCTTGTGCCTGCCGCACCAAACGTTCAGTAGTGATGATCGAACAAACGCCCGACTCAGTAACAGTTCACCACATGTGTGCACCCGAATCGACGGATAGATAGTGGAGGGGGGCTGTCGAATACTGATAAATTTACCGTAGTCAAACATTGTTTCTTGGCAGTGTGTGCGCGTTCTTACACCAGCCAGATAAAATAGCGTCGTTATCTGATTGTACGTATCAGTGTTTCAACTTTGCTGAAATTGTGAGCAAAACGTTTTGCTTTGGACATTTTCAGATGATGGAAATAACTGTCATCAGTGTGCACTTTTGGTGCCCAAAGAATAACTTGACGATTTTACACAGGGGCCACATTGGAGTCAACAACTGTAATAAATATTCCCTACGCTAAACTACACCACTGTGACACCAGAGTATCTTCGTAACACTTGAGGATTGCGCTCGAATCGATCGATGCAGCCCGGTGATTCACATTTCGCCTCATCTGATAAAGTTGGGAACGCATTTTCCCAAAGTGAGTTGCTGTATGTGATTCTATTTATTTCATAGCGTTTTAGTAATACGCTATTATTTTATTCATCAGCACATTAAAATGATAATTATACGGAAGGAGATAAGCACCAAAAACAGTAATTTCCTGCCGTTAAATCATTTTGAATGAAAAATTATCAGAACAACTCTATTGGTCACTCTTTAGAAGCAATGGATTACGAGGTTCTGTATACGTATACTGTCGTTTTTGTCCTACGATATGTGAATTGTCAAAGCCCCCCCCCACATATTTTACCTTGTAATAATCTCCCTTCCTGTGCACAACCATATGCTATTTTCGTCAAAGCCTACTGGTAGTGTTAAGAATATATCACAACAGTATCATTACATTGACCCAGCGATTATACTTGAGCATCTTGACGGAAGCCCAAAAGTGAATGCACATCGAGTTACAGTGTGGCATGAACGCCGTCACGTCATACTAACTTATATTCAAATCGCCTTCAAACTTTTGTCAAGTCATTTCAACATTCCTCCTTGGTTAACGCAACAGTTTCATCCAAGCCAACACTGAAGAAACACCATATATATGACATATAAATGGTATGTGTACGTAGTTTACGAGCAGCAGCCCCTGACCTGCTTCTCTACGGGCAAGATATGCAGTTCTAAGTGAAAAGTGGTATGCAACTGATGAATTTTTGCCCCATTTTAATAGTAGCAAGGTAGATATAGAGGCAGTTCAAATCAAAGCAAGTGTGGATGGAAAATCTCTTCATTTCAGCAGTCCCTGCAAGTTCTCGATGCAGTGGAAATGAGCGCAAACTAGAGTTTGTCCCAATATTTGCAACCAAACTTAGAAGCGTCCAGAACAAAACGACGCTGTGGATTTTCCTGCTATCTACCAACGATGCTTGTTTAAAATTGACCAAGCTTATGGATCTGGCAAAATTGCAACCATCTAAAAGTAGGGTAATGCAGGTACCCACTGGATATATTTACTGGAAAAAAATACATAGAGAACAGATTTTTACAATGATTTGCCCATTTTTGCTGATGACGTCGAGGTGAGCGCCGTTTTTTTACTAATATTGGAAAAGAGGACAAAGCGCATGAGGAAAAATACCAAGGGGCCCTGGTTTGTGCCAAAAATCATGCTTTAATTCAAAATTTGGTGAGCTACAGAAGAAATTGGAAGACGTTTTTGAAGGGAGTTGTAATATTTACCTAAGAAATCCATTAATAAAATTTTCAAAAATACGTAGGCCACCGAGTTCTTTTTCTCACACCGTTAGTACTCAGTCTTTGTTGTGTTGTTTTCAAACAACAAGTTCAAATAGGGTAGGTGGGATGTGAATTATTACGGCTTCTGGTTCGTACGTTTTCGGTAACCCATAGAGAACGGTGGGGTCCTTTTCTAGAACGGATGTGAGCTGGTTACTTGCCCAGAGCTCAAGTTTCTCATCAGCCCGATGGATGTTGCTGGGGCCCTCTGGCCTAGGCATTTACAAATAACCCCACCCAAACTTATTGCCCTTACTTTCCAATAAGGAAGCAAGGTTGATATGTGTCCACGCTACGGAGGAGCGTGTGGTAAATAGGTGTCTAAATTATTTGAAATTTTTGAGCTTATTTGACCCACTGCACTGCAATCGCCCAGAAATTTGTTTGAGGTATGTTGGACCACCAATCATTCATTCGGTTGAGGAGTTGAATTGAAATTACAACAAACACTGACAGCATGGTGGCTGTGATATTAATTCTCTTTGAAATCTTGAAATTTCTCCAATAGAATCTTTCACTACGTTTTGGTGGGCTCTGTTTTAAGTTTTTAACCTCTCTATTATTCAATTTTCGGCACAAATTTAGTCCAATAGGTTCAGATTCTGCCAATCGAAGAAAAGCCCATTTAAGTATATACCTTACTTTGGAAACATTCACTCCCTCAGCATCATCTTCAGACACGGCAACAACAGTGTTTATGCTGATGCCTTTCTGTGGTCTAACTACAAAGCTTATTTAATAATACATTAAGTGTGAAGGTGAAAATAAGAATGCCTCGGAAGATGAAGGGGCCTGCTGCTTATCCACCATAAGCGTTCTGAGTTATCGATACCTTCATTCGGTAGAAAATTGAAACGACGTACTCTGCTGACATGGTATAGGTGTCATTCCGAGCCCTGTTTACAGACATTCACAGAATGGTCACGGAGTCTGATTTCTGAGAGATGAAGAGCACCCACAGCCTCCAGATCCATTACACATACGGTTTTACCTCGCAGTTTGCGCTATTTGGAAGGCAAAATTGGGGAGAATCCGGTAGTTGACGTTCTGGCTTGCATGGCACATGTTTCAACTGCAGCAGATTTTGGTCCTGGGTTGTCCCTATTGACCGATGTAACTGCTTCACAATGAAACAGCAATCCTCTGATCACATCGTTGCGAGCTTATCCACGCCACCCTAAACAAGCAATGCTTCTGAGATGTAGGTGATTTAAGACCTGAAGATGCCATATAACATCTGGCCACAAAAACCATTTCTTGCAACCACACAAGACATTAGCCATTATGGCAGTTTATTCCACACAACCCTTGAGACACAGTGATATACACTTTTGACGCCACAATTTTCGCCTATTGGTATGTGATTATGGTCTTCGTAATACGTGGCCGAACTTCATAAGCATTATTATCAGAAGTCACTGGCAGTAACCGACCCTAGTAGTCCGAGCAATCAATTTCTCCCCCATATGGATGCAAACAGGTTAGATAGACACTACCCGAGGGATGCACTACCGTCTCTAAACAGAGCAGGTAGAAGATAATCAGGGTTGGAGTAGAGAATAGAGACTCACACATTTTAGCACGTCAAGGATCAAGCCAGAATGAGTCGCGCATATCCATGTTTAGTCAAATTTTGCCAGGCCTTGCTGTATACTTAATGAGGAAGTTTTACGGTGGAATGTTGCAGTGTATTGGTGGTAAGCTCCATAAATTGATGTTTATGCCGGTCTTACATATAGCCTCCGTTGCGTTGGATAGCTCAAAGCCCAACTGAACCACTTTCAACTCTTGAGGGTCCGTCGTTTTTTAGGAGCACATGGACTCCCGGAGTATTCGCATCGGGTTGCGCTTGCCAATGGTCAACATATTTGCATCCGGAATGAATACGCGTCCTATATAGTTGTTGGTGCATACATCGTTTTCCAAACTACTTGAAAACTATTGTGATTTGTCACTTTGTCACTTATTTTATCACTATGATGTCCATGAATAGTGATTAGCACCAAAAGGAGGAGTCGACTGGTAGTTCGGAACCGTTGGAGATGAGGTTAACAATCAGTAGGTTTATTGCCGGGCAGCGCTTTGCTTCGGTTGGCTGAGCAGATTTCCAGGTTTTCCTAGCGTCAAGGCAATTCAAGATCCTGCGAGTAGAAAACAAAATTTGCGTTAAGCCTTGGTTAACGGCTCTTAGTTGTTTATGTGAATTTTAGCAACCGATGAGCTTCGGGTAGAACGGGATGAAAGGAGGCTTTGTCATGACGATCTTTATATTCTTGTATTTTCGAAAATTAGTTTCTGAACAAGGAATTAAAAATGTTTACTGGGCCGCGATCTCCCAATGCTTAACATCTCTTAAAAGAATATATTCGGTCTCCCAAAATAAGTGACAGGCCTTCGATGTTTTTTTGCGTTGACCTTCTCAGTTCAAGCTTTATTTAAGCCTGATATAAGTATCATATTCTAATACACATGATGGACAAATATAATGTCCATACACTCGTTAAAGCAGAGCTTGAGGTGGTTGGCTAACTGCCTGCACAAGAAAAACGGTTCAGATTACTGGAGAACAATAGGACAGTTAAAGCAGACGTGTTGTTCAGGTGTAATGAATTATCAAAAAAATAAACTCTCGTCCAAAGTCTTCTGATAAAATTTTGTCTGAACACATCTTTTTGCTTTTTATATCAATGCTTTTGAAAAGCCTTTGAAGATTCACTAAAAAGCAGAAAAAAGTGACGCTGACAAATAAAAATACACAAAATAATTCGATAACTGAAGTTGAAAGTAGAGTTGAAAGACGGATGTTAAAAAACAGGACTTGGAACTGGCTCATAAGAGTGAAGAACAAGCTCATTGTCGATCTAAAATACTAAACATCTTGACAGATTTTCCCAAAAATTATCTTACCAGGTCAGTGATAGGAAACAACATTACAGTCATCCCCAAAATTATGGACCTATTAGTCTGCCGAGAGATTGTTAACGGGGACTTGTAGAAAGTGGAAGTATCCAGTAGCCTTCGATGCAAATCCAGTGTTGCGAAGACTTTCTGTTATATGGAGGTGTTCAGATTTTAGTAGGTCACAAATATCTGGACACACTAGATTAAATTGGTATGTACTGATTTCATGCGGAAACGCCCGGTGTCAATACAAGGAACCTCAGAAAGATCCTTCTCATATTGATGAACATGGTTCCAGTACCTTTATAAGTCCACAAAAAACACGGAGCAGGCATGCAATCAAGTTCCTAAAAGACACGATAATGTACACATTGCATATGGGTGATCCGCGATTTCCCACGTTAAACGGCTGCGCGGGCAAAAACGATATGCTAACTATTGGCTCCGTTAGAGATATTATTTCAGTGTGTACGATTAAAGATGGCCCATTTAAGCATTTTATTTGTGAACATATGATCACGAACCTGAGTTTGGACGAAAAATTCGTTCCTCAACTGAAGTCGCTCGTTGCCGAACAGTTCGGTGCTGCCCGCCATTATGAGACACCCTAAGGTCTTCTTGGATGCACCGTGCTAATGACTCCCAACAAGGATAAAAACTATGCAGTGCTTATCGACTCTTCAACATGGATTGGCAACACTTACAAAACGAAATCTCCATCAAATGTTCTCGAATCCCCCACATTACCAGCAAACATTAGACAGTGACATCAGAAGCGCACCCGAATCCAAATGAGATGGTTTTTCACACAGTGAAGCACCGCTCTAATATGAGGAA